TCATTACAGTTTTCTTTGCATAATGAGAGGTTACATGGTAGCTATACAAAGCAAGGCATGGACAACCCAAATGACCAAAAACAGACCTTTAGCATGCTAAAACAAGCATAAAAGCTTCACAAAGCTAAGCCAAAAACATGCTAGAAACAAGGCTCAAAGCACAAGGCATGTTAAGGCAATTCATGGCATTACAAGACATGTATGCTAAGCAAGCATGGTGTACCTAAACCAACTCACAATAATGCTATATCATGGCAAGATAGTCATAAAAAAAAAAAAGTTAAGGCGTGGCCAACATACACTTAAACAAGGTGCTCACTAATGAGGCTTAAATGGCCATTATTGAAGACAAGAAGAAGAGGGGGTGGCCCTTTCCTTCTTAGGACCTTAAACCACCATCCTCACCACTGAAATCTCTCAAGATTTCAGTGGTGAGGAGGCCCAAACAAGGTGGTCCCGGAGCTCACCAAAATAGCACAAAGATAGGGCTTAACAAGGCGTATGAGGGGTCAAATAACCCCAAAGCTCAAAGGAACCTCAAACAACTATTTTAAGCAAGTAAAAACAAGACTTTTATATGTTATATACTAAGCTCGAAAATAGGTGCAAGGTAGGCAAAAAGGCTAAGCAAGAATTGGGAACAAAATGAGTAAGTTCTTACCCTTGTTGACCCTCTTCAAGAATGATGCTCCAGCAGCTTCTTCAAGCTCAAAACCACCCAAAAACACCAAGAACAGCCTTCTGGTCCCTCAGTAACCAAGAGAAGGTGTAGGACTAGGTGTTTGTGTGCAATAATAAGACTAAACACACACACAAGGCAAAAAGAGTAGGTGTTTATGCACAAAAGTAAGACACAAACACACTTAGAGCAAAAGAGAGGGAGAAATAGAGATAGAATACACACACTATGTAAACCTAATCTCAGAGCTCTCTCTGGAATTTTTTTGTAACCCTAATGGAGGGAGAAGAGGCTCCCTCTTATAGACAATTCCTCTTGTAAAGATTTCCAAACAAGCTAGCCAAGAGGGAGATCCCTCCCTCTATACACGTGTATGGAGGGGAATAAAGTGTATGCCAGCTAGCACAGCTGGCATAAAAATATCTGCAAAAGCAGATGAACAGTGGTCGGCCAGCTAAAAATGAAATTTGACCAAAATAGATGGCCGGTCAACCATCTAGAGTGCCAGTCAGCCAAACATTTGGCCAATGGAAACAAAACACAACCGGTGGCCTCAAGTCATGGTCGGTGGAGTGTGGGGATGGCCAAAAATCCATTCCCTGCCCTCCAAAGCAAAAACACAAGTGTTCGGTGCAAAATCAAACACAAAACAGTCGAGTTGAGAGATCCTGAGGCAAGGCGCGTAGCTAAGACCTCCGGGAACTCAAGACGAACACAAACAAGGATGATCACCGAGTGTTCAAACGGTGACGTCCAAGTCTTGAGGACGGTCAAAAATGGGATGTCTACACACCTTATCTGATGAGTGCATAGATTGGCTTAATGAAGAGGCGCAGATTAGGCCCAGCTTGGCATCAAAGGCTTCGACCAGCTCTGGGAGGGGACGCAGGAACACCTGACTCATCTATGCCCCGGATTTATTTGCTTTAATATATACACTATAATATATATATATATATATATATATTACAGTACTTATACTTTTTAGAATTATAGGAATAATTTACATTTAAACAAACTTCAAATTGTGTATTTATAATTTATCAAAAAAGCAAAAGATTTATACTTCAAAATTGACTAAACTCTTTTCATAATTACCAAAAAAGTTTTTATCCAAATTAGTCCCTTCCACAACAGTTAATGCACAAAATTGGAAAGCAAAACAAAAACCCATCAAAATATGCAAGTGACTTCTTATAATATAAAATAATAAAAAAAGATTTATATTTCAAAATTGACCAAGACTCTTTCTATAATTACCAAAACAACCTTTATCTAAATTAGTCTCACCTACGAGAGTCAAAAGACAAAATTGAAAAGAAAAAAAATCAACCCATCAAAATATGAAGTGAATCTTATATCGATACTAGTAAAGCATGCCCGTGCAAGGCACGGACTGGTTGCACAAGATATTTGGATTTTGTTTTTAATATGAATAAATTATAAATACTTTTTAAGATTTGTAATACAGTCATAATGATGTAAATTTAAATTGATAAAATCTAAAATTGTGAATTTATTTTGTTATAAATGTGAAACTCTATTTTTTTTCTTTCTTCTTTTTATGGTAATAACCATGTGCCATCTTTTTTTCTCTTTTTTGGATGAGTAATGTTTAATTTTACAAAAGCTCAAAGTTCAATAGTCAAAAGTTGAGAATATACAACCCATACAAACAATCACTTCAAAATCATTTTTAAAGAAAATGGAGAAATGCTATGATATAACTTTCTAATAAAATGCATGTCCTGCCATAAAATGCATAATTTTACCACCAAAATTCGTAACTGTCACACCCCCAAAATAATACAATAAACCAACCAAGACAATATGTGAATGACAGTAAGAATCAGAGTGTTAAATCCTGCTATTATATGAAATCCAATTATATAAGAGGGTGACATATGCAATTATACATTTATGAGCCCGCTCCTGGATCTATAGCATATATCGGCCCTGTTTGGTAGAGCTGTGGGAAAGTACATATAGCTTATGCCTAAACAGCTTATAGCTTATAACTATGAACATAAGCTGATTTCTGACTTATAAATTAAGCATCTCCTGCCCCACTCAAAGAATAAGCTGATTTCTGACTTCCAAAAAGCTATAAGCTAAACCAAACACATCAAAATAGCTTAAATTAAGCTGAAAGCTGAAATAAGCAGCTTTTAAGCTGCACCAAACAGGCACATCATAGCATGAGATAGAGCGGGAAGCAAAACAAGAATAAATGCCCTAAAGGCTTACATCTTTCCAAGATAGTTTTTTATTACAACAAAAGTGGACTTTCAGTCCAATACATTTAAGCCCTTTGGCCGTACAAAAATTAAGTACAAAAATAATAAAATTAAGCCTTCAGCTCTACAGTCCTCCCAAACTAAGTCTTTGGTGTTGGCATATTACCGGCACCTGAAAATGATTTCCCAAATAGAATGAGCCAAAGCCCAGTAGAAACAATCTAGTACAATATATGAATCTTAACAAAGATATAAATATGATGCGCATATATAGTATCGGTGACAAAATCTTTTACAACTTATTTGCAAAACGTGCCACGCCAAGTTTTATATCACAATTCATGCTATCTTAATATCCTTTTTATCTTAATTCGTTTTTATCTCATTTCATGAGCTATTTTCATTTATCACAAACAAACATATTGAGGATACAACTTAAAGGTTCTCAAAACGATATAATCATCACATAAACACTTCCATTTGCCATTTTACGGAATTTTTGTCCACGAGAATCGGAACCCATGTATACATAACATTTTGGGACTTTCACTCTGGACACACAGGCTAATTTAATTCAATGGAATCCATCTCCTATCTCCTCCCAAACATTATACATATACAATGTATTAAAACACACAGTCATATTCAATGACAACCGAAAAAGATTAGTTTCAATTCGCTTAATCCTCATACAATTTCTACAACAATGATAGCCCAAAATAGTTATTTCTAAACAGATATACAATCTTTACAACAACTAATTTTTTTTTCAAATTTTCATAGGTGAGAGATGATACACGTCCAACTTCACCACTTATATCAACATTCATCTAATTTCATATTCCTATTTTCAATTTCATTATTCATGCAAAATAATTACTTGAACATTTTAGGGCAAAACCCCATTTCCTCCCAAATCTTAACCCAACCACCAAATCATCTATTTTAACATAACACAAGTTCATATTCATTCCCATGATCATTTCCAAGTTATCCTTTTTAAAGCCTTTCTTTCAAATTTAAAACCCCAAACCCTAGGTTTGTTAAAATCATCTCAAAACCCAATGTTTCTCACACATCAAGAAATAGCTAAGTTAAAACTCATAAAGAGTGCAGAGAGTCCCTACCTCAAGCTTAGAAGACCAAATGGTGAGATGGAGGATTTCAAAGACGCCGAAACCAAGCTTTAATCGGACCAAAAGAGAGCTCTTAAGGCGCGCTACCTTTTTAACAAAGGCACACGGGTAGAGAGATCATTAGATCTAAGTGAAAATATAGAGAGAATGTGAGTTTTAGAGAGAGAGAGAGTGTGTCGATCTAGGGTTTTTAAGGGAAAAGGAAATGAAAAACGATGTAAAATGAGGCTGCTACGAACTAATATACGCACAGTCAGCTTGAGCGTCAGACACAATAAGTTGTTCCACTCGAGCGCAAGAAATGACCGCTCGAGCGCAGAATACATACATCCAGCAGTTTTACAGACAGAAGAACATCGCTCGAGCGCAAGAATGGCCACTCAAGCGCACACCCGCTCGAGCGTAGGAAACGCCGCTCGAGCGTAAAATACACTTTCCTAGTAGTTTTGCAAACTAGCAAAAGTACTGAGAGTTTGCAAAGCCTACTCGAGCTCAAGAAGTGCCACTCGAGCAGAAGAGTAAAATTCTGGGCAACAAGAGTTGGGAAATCAAATAACTAACCTGTTCCAAAC